CCTGCTGGCCACACTATTTCTGATACATCCTATGCTTCTGGCTTCTACTGCAGCTGGTTGCACCTGAAGTAGAACGCACTGCTATGATTTGTGTTACCACAGTGTCTGTGAACACGGGTTATAGGTGAGGCCCTAATATGCCTTGCATTGCCCTGCAGAGATTTCACAGGTTACCTTTCATAGGGAGATACCACAGAGATATGGTATAGATGATCTCAAAGGTAGCTTTCACAACACATCATCGGCCAACTCCTTTCTCCCTGTTTCCCTTTCAGTTTCTGCAGAAATGTGGTAAAGGGGAGCCAAGAACTAATATAATTTTGCAGATGTTTATAATGACTTCTCCAAGGTACAAGGGATGTCATGGGAAGAAGCAAAGCACAAATGTTCTTAGCCTAACAAGTGTGTTTGGTGAGGGTGTGATTGTAATGAATGAGACAGTGTCTAGGGTAAGCTATATTGAAATTGAACACAAGGGTGGATTACAGTGATGCAGAAATGCAGAGAGCAGGTTGAACTATATCACATAAGGGGATATAGTTCATTGTGAAGTTGTCTTTTAGTTATCTGAAAACAGAATTGTATCAGTGGTGCACAACAGTGTTGAGTGGAGAAACGCAAGCCAGCTATGGATGAGTCAGCTTGAATAAGGATATTGGTGTATCTACATTTGAATGGCTTTTTTTCCCAGTATAATTAGCTTGGAGGAGCCACAGCATACAGAAAGAAACTGAATTAATTGGCCCGCATGGAGCAGTGCACTAATGCAGCTTTAGCATTTCATGCTTCAAAGCTGTTCTGTACAGGTCTCTCAGAATATAGTCCCAAATTATCACCTCACCCAAATGGGCAGGGTGGTTCTAGGCTATGTCCAGATGTGTTCAGATACCCTTTCTCAAAATTCCTGCAAGCAATTCTCTGCAGGAATGGTGATAGAGGCCTTTTCCTTCAATAAGCACTCAATTCTGAAGAATGTGACAACAGCCTCAGAAGTAATACATAGGAGTGCTAGGCAGCCTGTTAAAGCTCTGAATTTAAGTTGGCACAGATGAAACACTTCTTTCTGCCTACAAGCGAAAACAGGCGTTTAAATCCATCCTTTGTGACTTCTCTTTTTTTGTCTGCCTCAGAGAATGCTAGGCATATGCACACGGACAGACTCATATCACGAGTTACTGATCTGCAGTAGCATAGAGGGAAATGTAGATATGCTTCCAAGCATTCAGAGTGACTGAGGCACCTTACCATGTGTGTTTTTCTGCTTTGTCATTGTCTACGTTTTATGGATCAATGTATTTTGATTTTTCTCTGCTGTACAGTCAAATTATAATGGATTAAATGCTACCTTTTCCAACTCTGTGGATGTGAAGAGGAGTGAAGCAAGCTGATATAGAAAACTCTGTGTCTTTCTAGGATCCTCAGAAGCTTGAGCCTTCAGAAGTTGATGGTGGGGCACAATCGCCTGCAGAGCCTTCCACCTCTTCCAGAACACATTCCACTGGAGGTGCTGGACCTTCAGCACAACCTGTTGACTAAACTCCCGGAGATGCTCTTTGTCAAGGCTCTGAAGTGAGTGGCAGTAGCAAGTGTCTTTTGTCTGCATTAACCTTTGGAGCTGTAAAGGCTGATAGTGGCATCTGTGTGACTGTTCTTGCAAGGTGCCATTTGCATAAGAGATAATGAGGCGTGCACTTTATGAGGAGGTAATTCAGGTGCCATGAGGGAAGTCATCAAGCTGATTTGAGAGAATCAGTCCATGTTACTGTTTAATTACAAGAAAACAGAGGCTTGCCTAACCCAACAGCCAACCAAAGAATTAGCTTCAGTTGCAACTGTTTCTAAGATCGTGTTACTGCCTGAAGAGCTTTGTCTTTAAAAGTAGTGCGTAAATTCAGGTGCAAAGGAAAGAAGCCATACAGATTTTCACATACTACAGCAGAAAGTACATCAGGTCATTGGAGAAGAGCGAGAAAGACCCTTAAAAATGAACAACCCTTCATAACTGTCTATTCAGACATGAGTCAACCCTTCCTTTAAAGACTCTGAGTAAGAGTTTATGTAGCCTGCTTCCACCAGTATTACCCACCCCCTCCATAGGCTCTTCAGTACCCACTGGTTACTGTAAAATACTGTGTGCATCCACAGTGCTATATAGCTAATAAGTCATTAGTAGACTCAAATCTTAATGTGAGTAGGGATGTTACACTGTGTTGTCTGGCCTCTTGTCTAATGCTGTTGTTCTGTCTACCCTGGCATTTGTATACCTCCTTTTCCTGCTGTTAATGGAGTGGTTTAGATGATGTGAAGTCTGATTTTTGCACTTGCTATGGTTAGCCTCAGGTACCTGAATGCATCTGCAAACAGCCTGGAGTCCTTGCCCTCTGCATGTACAAGGGAGGAGAGTCTGAGCATGCTGCAGCTGCTTTACTTGACCAATAATAACCTCACAGATCAATGCATCCCTGTCTTGGTGGAACACCCGAGCCTACGGATCCTGCATCTGGCAAACAACAACCTACACACTTTCCCTGCAAGGTAAATAAGTAAGGCTGGTGGGCGAGATAGTGCTCACCAGGAGGATGTTGCCTGCCTTACTACTATTGTACATGAATCAGCGTCAAAGCAAGATGCTCTCCTGGTGGCTTGATGACAAAAGCCTGCCATTCCTACACACACACTGAGGAATAGCATGTTAAGGGGGATTGGCACAGGGTGCTGTTGGCTGCAGTAGTTCCTGTCCTAGTTGTGGTGGATGGTGGGGGGGGGGGGGGGGGGGGTTTTTTTCCAACTTAAAACGAAAATAAAATAAGCTGGCTGTGGTGGGGGGGGGGGGGGGGGGGGGATGGGGGCAGTAAGTATTCACAACTTCAAAGCTACTGGCATGCAGCTTGCTGTGCTGCGTTTTTTCACTTTTCAGTCTTGCCAGAAGACCCTCAGTCAGACTTGTCTGAACTCCTACCTAATGCAGGTCATATAATTTCATCCATTAATTCATGCACCAGGCTTACGATTTGGAGTTGAAATAGAGATAAATCTATGCTCAGCGTAGAAGCTCAAGAGGCTGGAGACTCCCATGTGTTCCTACTAAGTTATTCCAGTTGCTCTCAGTTATATAAGCCTGCATCTTATTTTTCAGTGAGAATTATTAATCTGCTTCTTTTTACCAGTATATCACGCTGTCTTTCTAGTATGAAAACTACATAGTATCAGGTATTTTTTTTGTGGTGCAGTCGATTGACTAGAGGGAAGGAATGTCCTCCAGAGGGACCTTGACAGGCTTGAGGAGCATCTTATTTTTCAGTGAGAATTATTAATCTGCTTCTTTTTACCAGTATATCACGCTGTCTTTCTAGTATGAAAACTACATAGTATCAGGTATTTTTTTTGTGGTGCAGTCGATTGACTAGAGGGAAGGAATGTCCTCCAGAGGGACCTTGACAGGCTTGAGGAGTGGGTCCATGTGAACCTCATGAAGTTCAACAAGGCCAAGTGCAAGCTCCTGCACCTGGGTCAGGGTGATTCCCAATATCAGTACAGCATGGGGAATGAATGGATTGAGAGCAGCCCTGCAGAGAAGGACTTGGGGATACTGGTGTGTGAAAAATTGGACATGAGCTGGCCATGTGCACTTGCAGCCCACAAAGCCAACTGTATCCTGGGCTGCATCAGAAGAAGCGTGACCAGCAGGTGGAGGGAGGGGATTCCCCCCCTCTACTCCACTCTGAGGCCCCACCTGGAGCACTGCATCTAGCTCTGGGGTCCCCAGTACAAGAAGGAGGTGGACCTGTTGGAGTGGGTCCAGAGGAGAGCCACGGAAATGGTCCAGTGTCTGGAACACCTCTCCTGTGAAGACAGGCTGAGAGAGTTGGGGTTGTTCAGCCTGGAGAATGATCTCTGTGTAAACTCAAACCAATCAGGCTAGCCCCATGCCAGCCCAGGCCACAGTTCAGGCAGATTAAAGTATGGCAATAGGTGCAATTTATAGGTTTCTACGGCTGTAAAGTCAGCCAGTCCCCGGGGTTTGTTCTAGTGACGTGTGATTAGCCACTCCCAATAGGTGCAGCAGGGGTGGAAAAATGCAGAACTACTACTCAACATTGTTGCACAGGCAGAGAGAGAAGAGAAGGCTAAAAGAAAGCCTCTGCAGTCCTGAGCATGTAAGAAATGAAGAAAGCTGGAAAGCGTCCTGGGTACTTTCTCCAGCACCCTGGATGCACATGTCAAGAACTCCAAATGTAGAAGAAAAATAATTCTACAGAATTATAATAGAAGAAAA